CTAGGCTGGCTGGATGATGCCCAGTCCTGCTCTGCCTCTGGCCCTTCAGGCTCCTGAAGGTCCCACCCCCTGCAGCGGTGGCTCCTCAGTCTGGTCTCCAGGTGGAAGCGCCTCCTCCCGGCCCAGCTGACTTCTGTGCGTGGGGCTCCTTGCCTCTCTCTGTGACGCTGGGGTCACAGCTCTTGATGCTAACGGCCGTGGGCCCAGGGCCACCTGGTGTGTGGAGCTGTGCTGAGCCTGCTTCCTGTCCAGCTGGGGCCACGTGAGAAGCACTGGGCTCGGTCGCCTTCCAGATACCCGTGACGCGTTCCCTCTGCTGGCTTGTTGTCCCCGGAGCTGTGGCACCACGAGGACCTTCCTAAGGGACGTGGCCTTTGTCCTCACTCCTTCAGTTTGTGTTCTGTGACAGCGTGTAGCCTGGTGGTTGGCGAGGATGGCCCGGTCCTGCCGGGGTAGGCTGCCGCAGTGGCGCGTGCTGGGCCTGGGTGTCTGTCTCTGCACCCCACCCCCATTTCCACAAAGCTGGCGCCCTGGGGACCTGCTGAGTTCCTGCAGTCACATGCTCTGTGCAGCTCAGCCTCACGATTGGTGGCTTCTGTGTTTGTGAATCTGCCCATTCCCTGAAGTTTGTATCCCCCAAATCAGTACTCATGGGGCTTTCCCTGTCATTCGTGGGGCCGTGCTTCGCAGCTTAAGTATTGGACTCTCCCACATGCAGGATCCCAGCTGAGGTCAAGCACGGTGTCACCTGTCCTTGTCTCAGCTGTCCTTCGGGATGCCCAGGGGACGGAGCTGAAAGGGGTGCTTGGATGGGCTGAGTCCCAGCTCTGGCTCCTGTCAGTGGGGCGGCCTTGGGCAGGTCACCTAACATGTCCTTTGTGAAACAGAGAGACCGGAGTCTGCCAGGCTGGGCTGTGTAGAGGACGTCAGACTGTCCCCAGGGTGAGAGGGATGTGCACTCTTTTTCCCCGGGAGCAGTGTTCAGTGTGCACAGGTCACTGCGGGGGCAGTATTAGTTCTGTGGGTCCTATAGCAGCGTCCTGGGGGAGCACTGTCACCTTTTCCCAGCCGAGGAAACAGGGCTAGAACCTGAGGGAGAGAACCTGCCCTGGGCCGCCAGCGGGGCTGAGGCTCGCACCCAGGCCCTGGCTCCAGAGCCCCTGGAGGCTCCCTGTCCCTCCCTTATTTCAGGATATATAGCTTGTTGGTGCCCGAGGCTGGAAGCATACCGGCTCTCCTTCCAGAGCCGTGCT